GGGGCCCAAAAGATTAAGCTATTCCATACTCTCCCTCGATATTATTATACTCTATGTAATTCTATATATACAAATATAATTAAATTATATACATATTGTTATGAATTGAGGGGAAACGTCAAAACCGGAGGCTTGTACACAAGAGAGGGACACCATATACAACCCAAAAGCTTAAGCTATTGGGAATTCCATACTCTCCCTCGAACGGAAGTCATTGTCATATTGCCAAGCTTGACATGTAGTCTAGACCAGGTAGGCATCCTGGGTGAGCATTTGGTTTATATGGTTAAAAATCGAATCAGATGAACCAAATTTTTGAAAAATGAACTTATAAAATATAAAGCCGAATCGAAACTGAACTACTGAAAAACCAAAAAAAATTGAAACCAAGTTTTTATTATTTCGGTTAAAACTGAATTTTATTAATATTATATTAATGGATATATATATTAATATTATATAATATATATTATATTATGTATATAATAAATTTTGATTAGTTCGACTTTTTGGTTTTAACCAAATTAACCAAACCAAAAAAACTGAACCAAACAAATTGAAATTGAAAATTTTGGTTCAATTTTTCGGTTTTAACCAAACAACGCTCACCCCTGGTAGGCACAACATTGTAAGCACGTTAAATGAACACTTGAAAAATTTTTTGACACCTGCCCCTTAAAATACCCTCAACCTACCCTTTGGAAAAGATTAAAAACCACTTTTCACAGTTGTTAAACTATTTTTCAAGTGTTCATTAAATGTGCTTGCTAAGTTGCTAGATATGGCCCCTTAACATGCACGAACCAAAAGCCCTTTGCTTTAGGTTCCCATAGGGGATACAACTATGGGAACCTAAAGCCATGGGAATTCACCATGTGCATCTATAATACCTATGCTTAGCCAAACCTTCAGCTTTGATACCACTGTTATGAATTAAGGGGAATTGTTGAAACCAAGGGCCCATACATGTACGCACATGTAAGGCTTGCGTACAAGAGAGGAACATCACATGCAATTCAAAAGCTTAAGCTATTGGATTATAGGCCATTCTTGTATATAATAAGTTTCTTATACCTCTCATTCCTTTCCAATGTGGAATTTTCTTCAACTATTCATACATGAATCCCCACACATATGTATAAAAACTTACATAAAAGTTGATCATATATTTATCATATTAAAAAAAATAAGTATGATAAATTTGATTTGCTATCAATGATGGAAATGACCGACAAGGTAGAGACTAGAGATTGCTAAAGATTCAGCTGCATGTGTGCCAGTCTTTTTCGATTGATGACAATGGTGGGTTTAGTGTTCCTACTCCTTTATTGTTTGCAAAGGAAGGTTTTTGTTCAATTGATTCAAGGGATTGAGAATGCCAATTCAGTGGATTTCTTTGAATGCAAATACAGTTTTGTGCATCGCACCATTAAATTTGTTTCATTATAATCTTGTTGACGATTGTTCGGGGACTTCTGTTTGTAATGATTATTTTTTCAAGGTTTAGGTGACATAGAGCATGGACAAAGATGGTTTTATTCCTGGAATTGTGTTTGTTGCTACTATTTTCAGATAGGGGCAGAGCCAGAAATATTTCATGAAGAGGACCAAAATCTGAAATGGAATGGATTGGGGGAATAAATATGAATGGCCGTGTGTGTGTGTGGGGGGGGCCTATAACCATTGGGTTAATCATTATAGACATAAGTATTAATTCCTTAGTCTTTTTTTATTTTCTTCATTTTAATTAAACAATTTATAATTAATGTATTAATTTTCTATTAATAATTGACTAAATTTAGTTTTGTCTTCAATCAATACACTTCATCCAATATAAATCCAAATCAATTTGACCCAAGTTCGAACCAGTTCAATGTAGTCTAACCCGATTCAGCATATACTAATCCAGGTCGATCCGAATCTGAAATAGACCCCGAGTGGGATGGCTCGGTGCCGCTTGCTCTGTCTGATCTAGGCCATCTGATCCAACCAATATTCACATACTCTGACCCGACCCAGTACGAGTCGATCTGAGGTTGACCCGAATCCGAAACGGTTTTGGGCGGGATGATTAGGCCTCCATGTGCTTTACCCGATTTGGATAGTCCATCCAGCAAATATCCACACACCCAACCCGAATCTGGACCGACCCAATTTAGCTACATTGACCCGGTTCAAGTCAGCCAGTCTAGTCCCAAACCCATGCACAAACCTGATATGGTCCGATCCAAGTCAATCCACCATTGACTAAACTGGTCCGATACAGTCCAATCTGACCGAATTGATCCAGATCTAAACGATTCAATCACCCTTGAACCTAAGTGGTTTAAGTTGGCCTAACCGGTTTGAACCTAAGTGGTTCGGTCAAACCCGAAATCCGAATATAATCAAATGGCCTCGCCGCTTGTGTAAAAACAACATGCATGTATTGTGATTTGAACCTTCACCACTTATGTAAATAATAACTACAATAACCACCAAGTTACAACCAACCTATTTGTTAAGACATAGAGAGAGTTTGTTTTTTAACTCTATACATATAAGATTAATGGGTTTGGACGGGTTGGATTGGGTTAAAGCGGGTTTGAGTTGAACCCAATCCATTTAATTTTATATAACTGGGTCATTAATGGGTTGGCGGGTTAGATGGATTTCAAACCCAACCCAACCTGCACAATTGCCACCCCTAGGGGCAACTATTGGGGTGGGGAGTAAGGGAAGGGGAAAATTTACAATCACAAGTAGGGATTTCTAAACCATGGGGGGCCATGGTTTCCCTGGGTCCCTTGGCTCCACTCTAATTTCAGGGCAAGTTACTCATAACTCATCACTCTATTTTAAAGCTATGGACAGAAAAATAAGAGTAAAAAGTGTATTTTTTTATAAAATTTGAACTAATAAAATTGAGTACATTAATCCAATGCATCCCTTACATATCATTGATGCCATTAATTTAATAACTATCAGTGGCATAGGGACACAATAAATCACCAATTAGAAATAACATGTGGCAATAAGTTGGGGATAAAGCCAATTGACCTCACATCGCCTTAGAAGGCCGAATCAGCCTGATTGAGCCAAGCTAATCTGACCAAACTTACCTTAGAAAGTTAAGCCAACATGGTCGAATCAACCTACACCAAGCCAACCTAACACCAACTTACAACATATACATTTGATCAACCAGTGTTTACGTTAAAAGTGGCTAGAGGGTAGAGATAGAAAGTTGTCAGAATAGGATGTCACCTCGGCTCAATACCTCGACTGCTAAGGGAACCTACAATTGGAAAAGACATCAAAGACCCTAGGGTGATATTCCAGAGCCATGGACGAAGATTAAAGTCAATAACACCAAGGGAAAAGAAGATGAGCTTGAGAGATAAGCAAGAGAGGTGGAGAGCTCGTTAAGAGAGATAGAGAGCTCTGTGAGATGAGTTTGAGAGATCGTGAGACGAGTTAGAGATCTCATGAAACATGCACCAAGGTGTCTAGCATGTCTTGTGCATAATAGTGTAATGTAGTGCTGCGTTGTATCCAAATGAACGAGGGGCTCACCTGTTTATAGGAGAAGAGTTTCCTCTAAGAACCAATATGTCTCTCACACGTGGTCGGAGCTCAATCCACTTATCGCACCCTTATTGATACATTGTGTACACGTTTTATGCATGTGGTAGCAATGGACCTACATGGAATGCCCTATCATTGATGTTCCACTCAGCTTGGCCACGTGTTGCTTGTACAAGTTATGAGTTGGTATCAGATTAGTTCGTATAAGTCAAGTTAGTTCACTAGTACCAAGTTAGCTCACCAAGACCATGTCAACTCGTCAAGACCAAGTCAACTTGTCAATTGACAAATTTACCCCCAACATGCTGCCACTTTGAGGTTTCAGACTGGTGGCCAGTTTTGGTCGCATCACAAGAAAAAAACAACTCTTGAACTTTCCTATTCTCTCGTTCAACCTACACAACCATGCACCATCCCCCATCGGCAATGTTGTCCACATACTCATCCAACCTAGCCAATGTTGTCCACATCCCCAGTTCGTATAAGTCAGGTCAGCTTGTCAGGACCAGGTTATCTCATCAAGACCATGTCAGCTCATCAACACCAAGTCAACTTGTCAATTGACAACTTTGCCCCCAGCATGTTGCCACTTCAAGGTTTCCAACTGGTGGCCAGTTTTGATCGTATCACAAGGAAAAAACAACTCTTGAACTTTCCTATTGTCTCGTTTAACCTACACAACCATGCACCATCCCCCATCGGCAATGTTGTCCACATCCTCATCCAGCCTACCCAATGTTCTTTTACCTACAATCTTGAAAATTCACGCAGCATTTTGTGACTTCTCCATTTCCACTATTTTGGAATTGGGATCTACTCCTCACAGCCTCATCCCACTCTATATTGGAAACACCTCCCATGAATAATAGCATGAAAGTACAGAAAATGATCCCGATGTGCGACTGAAACATGCTGTAAAGTCGATTTGAGGAGCGCTTTGTGAGGAGCAGGTCCGGATTCACTATTTTGGTTTTTATTCTTCTGTTTTCAATTTAAACAAGGTTAAGGAAAAGAGAATGTAAAGAGAAGAAAGCCCCAAAGATATTTAAGTTCCTTGATTTCTTAATAGATCTGCTCTTTTTTTCCCATGGCCAAGGAGACAATGCATTGGTAAAAAGAAAAAGCCATTGGCCTACCAATTTTAATCTTCAGAATGAGTGGTGGCTCATTTGATATAGTAGCCATGGTTTTCAAAACCGGACCAGACCGGACGGTTAGACTGGAAAAAATGGGAACTGGTCAGGTGTCAAGTTCTATTTTTCCCCCAAACTGGTTCTCAAAAACCATTGATTTTGGTCAGTAAACCGCTGACCCGGGTGGTTAACCATTCGAACCGTTCAAATGGTTTAGACCATTTTTTATTTCTTTTTATTTTTTTGTCAGAATGGGCCAATTGTTCGACCCGGGAATCAGACCCCTAACCGGTTTGTTCTCCGAATCAGTTTTAAAAACCTTGATATTAGCTGGGTGTACTCCCAAAGGAAATGAGAATTTGAGTCCCAATACTGTTACAACTTACTTGTTTTAAAATACAAAAAAAAAAGTGTATAAACTCAAAATTTGTACAATATAAACAAAAAAGAGAGAATAATTATTTTAGAAAGAAAAACATCTAGCATAAAAACCCTAAGGTTGTATTTGGTTGCAATGCAAATAAATTTGCACTGGTGCAAAATCATGGCAGCACAAATGGTTTGAGTGTAAATTCTAACTTATTTTTGTTTTAAATTTTAGCTTATTTTATTTGATTGCAGTACAAATGAAGTATTTAAGACATGAAGCAGAATAAGGTAAAATCCAAAACAAAATTAAACAATAATTTGCATTTTTTACATTTGCACTCCCATGCATTCGTACTAGTGCAAATAAATTTGCACTACAACCAAACACAGCCTGATGTTTGTAGTAGGTAGAAGCCAGTGCCACTGGTTTATTGACAACCATAGGGATAATAGCATGGTTTCGTAAACCAGACAAGACTGGATGGTCAGATCGGATGACCCAAGAACTGTCCAGGTAACCAGTTTTGTTTCACCCCAAAACTGTTCTTGGGTCAAAAGCTGTTGATTTGGTCAATGAACCACTGACCTGGGTGGTCAAACTATTGACCTAGACAATAGTTTTTTACTTTTTTTTGTTTTAATTATTTTTTAAATCAAAACAGACCTCCATTTGGTCGGACCGTTCGACCTAAGAACTGGTGGCCAAAACAGTTCCGTATCCGATCTAATTTTTAAAACCTTGGATAACAGCCTCATAACTCAAAAAAAAAAAAAAAGAAATATATATATATATATGCAGCAACATGTCTGAAATGTAAACCAATAGAGGCAACAATTTTTATTCTGGCCATGGTAGAATTGATGAGGACAGCAAAAATGTCTTGACAATGGCGAATTTGTTCCATTAGCCCTTCCATCATTGTATCCATTGTAGAGAGAGACACTCTGGTCAGGCTTTGAAGTTGGTAGAGATACCATGGTACTTTCCTGCTTCTGGTGGTCCGAAACCTGATTAAGGCCAACTCATGCAAAACCCCTGTAACCTGATTAAGGCTAACTCAACCCTAATCCAATGGGATTAGTTCAGTGCGGGTTTACCGTTTAACCTGATAGATCGACATTCATACTTTGAAAGTGTAGCTGTTACAAGCCTCAATTTTAGGTTTTATCTTAGAGTTTAAAAGTGTTTTAGCTTTAGATTTCTTTTCATTGAAAGTTTTGGCTTTGGATTAGTTTGTTTTTTGAAATATCTCTCACCAAATGCTCAAAACACTTTTTGTCAATTTTGTTTCCTACAGTTAGGGGTGTCAATAGTCTATCCGAAAACCCAAGGCTTGATCCGAAATCCGATCCGATTATTTTAGATTTGGATAGTGTATTTATGTAATCAGATCGGATCTGGATTTGACCTTATCTGATCCAATTAAAATCCAAATCTGATTATAATATAATATTTATTAATTTTAATATATAAGTTTTATATAATTATATTTAAAATTATAAAAATATATTCTATATATTATATTATAGGTGAATTTATATATATAATAAATTTAGTGTGTTATATTTATATTAATTTATTATATATAAAGGTTAAAAAATAAATAATTTTTTTAGTTTTTTTGGTATTTTAGAAAATTTATAGTAGAACCGGGTTAAATCCGAATCCAATCCAAATCTGTTAGGATTCGGATTCGAATCCAAGTCTTTAAATCCGATCGAAATTTGGATCGGATTCGGATGTATGCTATCAGTAATCGGATCGGATGCGGATTTTGCTACATCCGATCTGAGTCCAATCTAATTACAATCCTAGGTGTCAATGGACGAAACTTAGGTTAGACCCCAACCAAATCAAAATCAATTTGAACGAATTAGATGAACCAATAAGTTATATTGAATTGGATTGGTCAAACCTTAATGGTCTATTGGACCTTATCCATTTATAATGAATTTATATTGGACCGAGTCAAATTGAACCAATATCCACACGATAATTAAATAAGAGAACGAGTGTTAATGGACCAGGTTTAAGTTGGACCCAACCTAAATTAAACTTAATTGGAATAGTTTGGATGGTTCAGACATTGAACTGCATCAGTCAAGAAATATCCAAAGTATTCATCGTATTGGATTGGATCACATTCAACTAATATCTGGTCCATTGTCAGCCTTACCGGCCACATTCCAACGGTCAAAAGCAAATAGTTATCCAAATGGAACCATGGTTATAGAGAGAGACCTTCAAGGCGCCACATTAATGTCTTATTATTTTAAACACTAAAAATGGTGTAGGTCTTATTCTTTTATATAAATGGGTATCAAACCTAATTTATTCTTCAGACTCCGTTTGGGAAGAGCAAATACAAATATACAAAATATAAAGTTTTATACTCTACATATTTGTATTTATACTCTTTCCAAACGGAGCCTCAAAAGTAAATGAAAAGCCCAGACTGATGGCCCCAAACAAAATACATATGTACAGCTTATGATTCACTTTCCATCTTTCTTTTTCTTGGATAAGTCCCTTCTCGTCTTTCTTTTTCTTTTCACAAAGTTTATTCAAAAATTCAAACAGCATACAAACATGGGACCAGATGGGCTAGAACAAGTTTGTGCTTATATTGCGTGGTTTCCATTTCAAAATGCAAAAATTCAAATTTAATTTTTCTATTTTCCTTTTTACTACTTCTCCTGCGAGCCCACCTCTCTTTTCCTTTTTCTATGATTGTTTTCCTTTTTCTCCCTTTCCCCTTCCTTATTTATCTCTCTCGACTTTTCCCATCAAACATCAAGATTGGGACTCATCTTCAGACAAGAGAAAGCTTCAAACCCTTTTCTTTCTTTGATGTTTGCTGATAAAACTTGTTAACCGGATTTTTAAACTTAGTTGAATGTCTTCATTGCAAGGTATTTGTGGATTCTTAACTCTGGTTCTATAGCTCTTTGGCCATCAGAATATACAATTAGAAAAGTAACTCAAATCTTTTCTCTTTTTCTATTATTGCAGAATATATAAAAATTCAGAAGAATGCAAAATCTGTTTTACTACTTCCTACATACTATTCAGATTGCTGATATTTTAGATTGTTATTGAGTTCATGTCATATCTGGCTATACTTGATTGCAACATTCTGATTTCTAACCTGCTGTTACAGTAGAGTGATTTCTCAAGCAGATCAATCCCACATCATTTTAATTTCATTATCTTCTCATTTCTGTTCTTGACTTTGTATTAATATATTATAGTTCCTTTTGGTTTGGTTCAGTTGCATTTTTGTTATCTTAGGGTCTGTTTGATTCACAGTTGGAATCAGAATTGAAATGGTCCATTCCCTCTACCTGTTTGGTTCAGACAAGAATTAGAATCAAATCAGAATCAGTTGGAATGGATTCTCATTCGCAAGAGAGGGGAGGGAATGGCCATTCCACCAGGAATAGGAATGGGATTCCAATTCCACCCAACCAAATGGTTGGACTTTCTTCCTGCAAACCAAATGGACCCTTTGATTCTTTTTTTTTCCTTCCATTTGTATAATTATATTCTTTTATCTTTGGCTTTGCTTGTAGTCTGCTTGTGAATCCTCTTATATAATTACACCTACTGCTTGCATGTCTGCTGTTTGCATCTTCATCTAGTTGGCTATTTCTGTAAGTATAATTTCAAAGCTACATTTATTTTCTATGTTCCATTTCTTTAATTACTTTTAAGGGTCCGTTTGTTTCGTAGTTGGAATCAGAACCGGAATGACCCGTTCCCATAGTCTGTTTAGTTCAAACAGGAATGAGAATGGAAATTAGAATCAGCAGGAATGGGATTTCATTCTCAAGGGAAGAGTAGGGAATGGCCATTCCCCCAAATGAGGGAATGCCATTCCAGCAAAAACGGGAATGGGATTCCAATTCCGTCCAACCAAAGAATTGAAATCAAAATAGCCCATTCCAATTCCGATTCCAGACCCTTATTCCTGCTAACCAAACGGGGCCCAAGTGTCACTCTGACTCCCTTTGATCTCTTTGCTTGATTTGGATGATTCCATTTGCACCCGTTTAATCATTTCGATATATTTGCACTCAGCTCTTTATTTAATCTCACCTATTTGAGCGAATTGATTTATTTAGATTTATCTGTATATTTTCTGATTTGTGTGATTTCACTTATATACAATTGGTGCTACTGTTTGCAGGTCCAAAGAAGGGCAAAGAGGGGCAATTAATGGAAGTATTTCCAGAACCATTAAAGAGATTATGGAACGAATGGGAGCTGAGGGCATTGGTTCTTCTCAGCCTCGCCATTCAAATCTTCCTCATATTCTTCGGACCAGAAAAAATGGTTAGGTGATCGGTTCGTTTTGCTTTAAAATCGTCATTTTGCAAAAAATCGTTGATTTAGGTGGTCGAATCGTTCGAATCATTCAATGGTTTTGGTCATTTTTATTTTTTTATGTTTTTATCAGAACGGACTGTCCGTTCAATTTGAAAGTTAGACCGTTCAACCCGGGAACCAGACCCCTGACCAGTTCGTTGTCCGATTGAATTTTAAAAATCTTGTATGACATTACATTGGCTCTTATTCTTGCAAGCAGGGACACTTTTAGAGAGTCCATTGGTTACTGAACCAGATCCAGGCCCAACTATGCCAAATTCATGGAGAAATACACTTCCCAGAAAAATGCAGGCTTAAATGCAGAGATAATAGTAGTTATTGTTAGAATGTTGTTGATGTGAAGCTTTTGTCTGAATCCTTCCATTTCTTCAAAACATTTAGCCGTCTTATTAATTGTAGATCTCATCCTCACTTTTAACGATAGGAAGGAAAGCAAATCCTACTTCCAATACCAAGACTAGACTACAGCTTACAAAGTTATTGAGGTTGAGCTTGGTTTAGGATGTACTTGGTTGCATTCTCCCATTTTTAGGTGTTGTTTGGTAAGTCTTTTTTAAAAGATGTTCCGATAGACATACAGATAAAAGACGATGTGAGTTTTTACTTTAAGACTATATTTGGTTTGAAGGAAAAGGTAGGAAAAGGAAGAGAAAGATGGAAAAACTTATACAATATTGTAAAGGTTTCCTTACCTTTCCTTATATTTTCCTTTGAATCAAACATAGCCTAAAGACCGTTTGATTAAAGTACATCTTTCCACACGAAAATACTATAAAAAAGTTGAAAAACCCCATTTAGAACTTTCTTAATGAGCTTAAAATAAAGTGTTAACTTTGATAAACTCAATCTAAAGATGCATTCCATTACTCCCACATCATACAAGAACTTTAGTACTCGCAGAGGTGAATTGGCACTTAAAGAAGTGCATCAACTACCCAACTATGGCAAGGAACATGCTAAGGAACTCAATAGGAGTATTGAACATTAAGGAGAAGAAAATCTATACAGATGTATCCAACTATATGCTATATCTTATGGTATCACGTCCTTTCATGCTGATTGCAGGAATTGGGCAGATCAGATTTTGGGACACATGTGCTGAGGCTAAGAAATTTCAAGACCATACAAGAATATGACTTGAAAGACCCTATCCATTTGCCTAATTAACCATCTAAGTGCGTAGCAACTTACAAGACCAAACAAGCAAATCTAGCTAGATGGGCTATCTATGTATAGTACAAATTAAATGGCCCATTATTAAAAATGGGCTTGCAAGGATCTTTTGTGAGACAAAGGCTAAGACCCTAGCCTGGCCCACTACTGTTCTATCTACAAAAACCCAAACTATTGATCATTGTAAACTTTCATGGCATTTAAAAAACTATATTCTCTTGTCTACAAGAATTTTACTCACATTTACCCATAACACACTACTCCTGTGTATAATATTATGTAGGAGGATGAGATATTCTCCATGTGTGGCGGGTGTGATTTAACCATTAACTGATTAATTTGATTATAGATTTTGGTGTGATTTAATCATAAACATTGAATTGAAATCTTTGGGTGGTCAAAGAAAGGAGTTTTGAGTTAAAACATGCATGTGGATGTAAATCAGGATGCCAAGCCTCAGAGAGGTTTCAAATATGAAACTAACTTTCATTGAATTATTATTAATGAATATAAACTAATGTAAATCATTTTGGTTGTTTACGGATTATATTTTATTTTCTTCGATTTGAAATTTGGGATGTTCACGATAGATTATTATCCAAAGTCAATGCTTTGAAAGGGAGAAAAATAGAAATATAGCATATTATTATTATTATCTTTTCAAGGAACAAGATTTTTTAAAGAACAGAAACCTTGGATAGACCCTAGAACTGACCCTTGAGAACCACCAAGGCCAGAACCGTAGGCTCCGGTTCCAAAAAACCAAGAACCAGATCGATTCTGCCTTGGAACCGAACGAACCAACCTACCC